ATATTTTTTTAATCTCTATACGAAAAACAATTACTTTAAATAGCTTTAAAGTAATTTGCATAAAAATCGATAATACATTGAATTAGAAATGAAGAATAAATAAATATTACACAACATTATCACATCACGTATATTGCTCAGATTCCAAGATGTGTAGCTAAAGATGTACTTGTATTTGAAACATCGAAGGTGCCATTAACATCTAGAACCGGATGCAATATACAAAAAAAGATTTTTCTACATTGACCCCACTGGGAACCGAACCCGAGACCTCAGTGACATTGACTACGGAGGTTTTTTATATTTTAGTGTTTATTCTTTATCTAGATACATCGATGCATGTAACTTATAATAAATAAATATTAGATAATATTTCATATTGACTCGACTGGGAATCGAATTCAGGAACTCAGCGGTGGCAACACATTGAAACCGATGTGTTAGCCTATCGATAGTATTAATATTAGAAGTTCATTTTCTACAATGACCCAAACAGGAATAGAAACCAAAACCTAAAAGATAGCAAACGGCCTGCGAACCACTTGACCACAGAAATCATCATACAAGCTATACTTACATAGTTTGTGATATAATAAATGGTGATATAAATGCTCCGTTGCTGTGTGATTATTAGGAAAGCCTCAGTGCTAACATGATTTTAACAAAGGTGTACCGGGTTTGGTTCTTGTATGAGTTCATATAAAAAAAATACTTTTCTACATTGTATCATCGTTCTCATATGATTTGATTTTTGTGATAATAATACACATCTAAATGTTGATATTAGAATAATATGGACTATGTAAATATACTTTTTCTAAATCGTATATATTGTGCTATTTACTTAGCATAATAAATCGTTTAACAATACAATGATAACAACATGTAATAAATTTTAAATATTTTTTGAATAAAATTCGATTTTATTATTAACATTAAAATGCTTATAAACTCGTTGATTTTATTTTTTCGGTTTTATAAGTAATTTTTTAAAAATTAGTAGATAAAAATAACAAGTAAAACCACGACAAGATTATTTACTTGCTAAAGTATCACGTTTCATTTAGCGGATGTTGGTCGTATACCACTTTATGCCTTACTTGCAGAAAAATATACATAAACAACGTTGCAGAAATGAATTATAGAATAATGTTATAGAGTGCGGGAGCTGTGTGATAAATAATTTCAAACAGATATTTTTATTGTTCTTTGAATATTATTTTCTTTAATATATTCTTCAATAATAGTGATTTATTACATGTCACAGTTTTTATTCTTTAATAGTAATATAAAAACTTACTATTACTATTTATTAATAATGTAAATAAGTAATAATAATCGTTTCAACGACTCATCAGGAAGATGGCAATTAAAAATACGTATTATTACAAAATAAAAACCATATAGTCTTTATAAAATAAATTTTCAAAAGCATTAGTTACTCGCTTATAAGACTACTCGCGGATGCATAACTGTAATTGTTTTATGGACTATGATAGGATACTAGAAAAATCTAAAACTCGATAAGTAATATTGTTAAGAATTATTTTCTGTTTTAAATCTATTTTACATCATGTCATCGATTTTATTTATTTAACTCCTAGTCTATAACCTTCAGTGTTGCATATAATGTGGTCCAAGTCAAAGAAAATAAGATTATAATGGTTCACATTGATTCATATACTGCGATATTTATCTAACTTGAATACTTTCGCATAAATAAATAGGATCAAACAATAGACTTTCTAAATAGAATGTATAGTGTTATTATTAAATGAAAGTATACTCACGTGTAAAATATTAAGTTAGTTAATGATAGATTATAAATACATATATCACAAGTATGTATGTTTAGTTATTCTATTAGTACCTAAAAACTTTTTGTGAGTTTAAATTATTACGTTGGTTATTAATTTAAACATTAAACTATATTTTTTTGTGATGAGGACTTAATTATTTTAAATTTCATACATTGGTTTTATTTCAAGGCAAAAACGCAATATAATAGCGATCAGTTCAAACCAATTCTTAAAACGCTTCCGCTTATAACTTGAATAGTCACACCGTTTGTACATTCAGTCAGTCAGTGTTCCGATAAGCAACGTGTAAAGTGTGTGTATTTAAACAGTGAGAAACAAAATAATTTATTAGATTCCAATTATCATTTAGATGTTACCTAGCTAGTTAGGGGTTATTGGTATTACTTTTTAACTATATTGGGTGAGGAGACACGAACCAATCGGGTACAGAAAAAATCTAGAAGTCAAGATGGTAACTCCGAAGCAAACTGCACTGAATTTTTATTCAGGGAGACCATGAGCCAATCGGGTCGAGACTTCATAGAACTAAAACAAATATGATACTCCAGTGGCAACTCCGAGGCAATCGGCACTGAATTTTTATTCAGGGAGACCACGAGCCAAACTGGATGGAGTATATAATTTCTGATTTTGATTTTACTACTAAAATTATGATACTCTAGTGGCAACTCCGAGGCAATCGGCACTGAATTTTTATTCAGGGAGACCACGAGCCAAACTGGATAGAGTATATAATTTTACTACCATAATTTCCGGGTGTTAACTGACGCAAGCTGCTCATCCATAAAGTTATAAAAGTATACCGTAGTCCTATCGCTAAATATTTAATATGTATGTTCATTGCGTTAGGCATATTAAAGGAATCTAATGAATGTTTACGTTTCAGTCAGTGTAGTGAAAAAATGTGATCAATCTCGCTGCCATGGTCACCAGGTTAGTCGATTATCCATTCAATAAAACTTGAATTAAAAAGCGTGAATAGCATCAATTCTCTAATAAATTCTAATAGTGAATCCATTTATAATATTGGGCATTCTGTCATTCCACGAGTGAGTGGTGGCGAAACGCCGACACGAATGAGTGGGGGACAGAATGCCCAATATTACCCTACTCAGGTCACGCATTCGCTTGACGGTGAGCAGTTGCAAGTGGTCACACTCGGGCTGACGCTCCATCCACTTCAAAGCAGTCTCGAGGCCGGCAAATGCTTCACTAGCTGATGGTCCAGCGTCTACTTCAACATCAGCAGAAAGTTCTTCTTCCACTTCCACTTCAACATCTTCTCTCACACTTACAACAATTTCATCGTCATTGAGAATTTGAAAACCAGGGTCAGACGTGTCACAAGCCATCCACTCTCCTACATCTTCAGCACTTACTTCTGTACAACCAGGAATTTTTACAATCATTTTTCTTATTTCCTCTAGTGACAACGCATCTTTATCATCATCATCCTCTCCATATTCTTGTTTCTCATTTTCTTCAGATTCTTTTTTTTTTGTTCTTCTCAGACGGTAGGCCTTTCAGTTTATTCCTCGCACGTCTTAGCGTCACTGCCGTAACCAAACTCCAAGCTTCCGCTACCATGTAACAGCAGTCCTTTAAATTTATTTTGCTATGATTTGCCAAAACCAATTCTTCATCTTCAGCACCTTCGTTCAGCAGTTTTCTCAGCAGTTGCCTTCTGTAATGGCGCTTTATTGTTTCAATAACAGACTGGTCCATGGGTTGCAGCAAACTTGTAACATTGGGAGGCAAAAACGTCGTTTTGAACTGCCCATTCTCTCTTTCCAACAGTTCTGCTGTAGGATGAGTGGGTGCGTTATCAACAATTAAAAGCACCTTACTGCCTTCTTTTCCCACCGATTTTTGGTGCTTTTTCACTTCAGGAATAAACACTTCATCATACCATTCGGTAAACAAAGCTGCAGTCATCCAGGCCTTGGGTTGACTTTTGTAGAAGAGTGGAAGTTTTTTTACGTTTTTAAATGCTCTTGGATTTCTTGATTTTCCTATCAAAAGAAGTGGCAGTTTATGATTTCCAGTGGAGTTGGCACAGTTAAGCACTGTAACACGTTCTTTACTGACCTTATGTCCAGGGGCACTAGATTCCCTTTTAGAAGCCAAAGTGGTTTTTGGTAATGCTTTCCAAACAAGGCCAGTTTCATCGGCATTATAAACAAACTCCGGATCATAGGATTCTGATGCAGTTTTAAATTTTTCAATAAAATTTTCAGCAGCTGCAGAATCTGCTGAAAGCTTCTCACCAGCCAAATCTAACTCGCGTACACCATGCCTGAATTTAAAATTCCTTAGCCAGGCGTTACTAGCCTTAAAAGATGAATAACCAAGCTTTTCTGCAAAGATTTTGGCTTTTTCACAAAGGATTGGACCTGAAATCGGATTTCCCATAGAACGTTGCTGCAAAAACCATTTAAACACGGCATCTTCCAAATTTTTGTTGGTTGCTGTCTTCATTGTTTTCCTGGAGGAACTTCCATCTTCATTTCCAAGCACCGAAACAAAGTTTAAAAGTGTTGACTTACTGTTTTTAATGTCAGAAATTGTTGCTTGTCCAGCACCATAAATCTCAGACAACTTCTTACCCGTTACACCTTTATCGAGTTGCTCTATAATTTTCAGTTTGTCCGCTAACGATAGCACAACACGTTTTCTTTTCGAAGCCATGGTATAAAAACAATACAGTATTGTACACGCACAAACAAAAATAAGCCGTAGCGAAAGAGTAGCGTCCTCGAGCAAGGTCAATAGCACACTGGCTAATCAAAACAAACAATGACAGGTGCGCCGTGACTGCAATGCGCCGGAACTTGTCTTAACTTGCCGTTGTGCCTACACACGCGGGGGAAAGTCAGTGTAGGCACAACGGCAAGTTATGACAAGTCAAGTCAAGACTTGACGCGCAAACACTGGCTTCGCGGGGGGGGAGAATAATAGCGCACTTAGACTTTTTTTGGACAATTTTTTGTGATTCGGATAATCGGCGATTCGGATAGTCGGAGTTCGGATAATTGGAGTTCTACTGTAAATGAAGCGTGACTTGTGAATTGTTTTAAAATTGTTTATCGTGGGTAAGTGGCTTTTTTGTTATTATTTCCATTTATTTATGTAATAAAGGTTGTGTAAAGATTATTGTTTGATAATGTTTTGCATTATTACATGCCTAAATGTTCCCAAGACTGGTGCGTACTAAAAAGTACCGACAGTCACTTTAGGTATGTGTTTTGTATGGTGTGCGTAGATGAAGAGGGTGGTTTATTTTTGTTATTATTTCATTAGATACTTTATAAAATTATATGTTTTTAATTCTAGATGTCCAGATATGAATATCGTAAAAAATACAGCCCTGATAGAAGCATTATTGCTTGAAGACTTGCCCGATTGCAACGACGTTTCGGAGATTGATACTTCGGATGAAGAAAATGAACATAATGTTCAACTACCCACACCAGGCGCCTCGAGAAACTTCGATGACGTTTTCGAGGAAGCTATCGAACAGGCCCTAGATGAAATGGAACAATCATCACAATCACCATCTCCAATAGATCAGGTATCTCCAGTTCCTAGCCTCGTCCCTGACAATTCTCATGATGTCCAACCTTCAACGAGTGGATCCACGTTAAGAACCCCGCAAACACCAGCCCGTCCAAGACCCGGTCCGGAACCAAATCGTAGGTGGAAAAAACGGGAAGTAGAAAATAGTTTATCTCAATATTCTGGAAATACCGAAGTAGTAAAAGAATTTTTGGCAACTGTTACACACCGACCGATATATTGTAAGTGTTGATAGATGGATTATTGGAAAATATTGTGTACCAAACAACCTTTTTGCTACTCAAAAAGATAAGGTATTGAATCTCAAGAAGGAAGACCTTCTAGCATTTATAGGCATTAATTTTTTATGGGGTACAATAGTCGACCTGCTTGGAAGGACCATTTTTCTTCCGCAGAGGACTTGAACAATGTACTTATATGCAAAACCATGCCGAGAGACAGATTTGCCATGATTTTAGCTTATTTACACTGCAATGATAACACTCAAATGCCTCGAAATTGCAAAGATAAGCTATACAAAATTAGACCAGTCGTGAAAGAGTTGAATAGAAAAGGGAATTGTTCAATTTTGGCTTTTGGTGGACAAGGTAATTAGTAAAAACTATGTAATCAGTAAAATATTATTAAAACTGAAAAAAATATTTTTTATACTCTCGTCATGGGAAACTAAACATTAAAAATATTATTTTTAAAAGTATTTTTTGGATTCGGATGTGTTTTGTTAACATGTTTCACTGTGTTTCCATATCAATAAAAGTTATTGAAGTACTATTACTAATAGTATCGATTAATCGATTAGGTTTAACTTTAATACAAATGGAAGTAATTAAAGTATATAAATATTAATGCATATACAGTACATGATCTTTTGCAAAATCATGTATCAAATATATTTAAAACATAACAAATAATCCTTTTCGGTTAGATATAAGTTAATTTACACTAACAATCGATTACTTTCTAATCGATTAGTGATTTTTATATGGCAACACCAGTTCACTTTGTCAACAAATACGTTCATCATTCTTATTAAAATGATTGTTTATATAAAATAATTCCTTAAATAACGTATTAATATCGTTTAGCGTATTGTTTTAGCGTATTGGGAAATCCATGTAGAAAGATAGAATTGGTAATTCATAAGTGTTTGGTTTAATGAATGTATTTAAATCGTGTAGTGGTCTCCTACGTGAATATCGTCGGCCGCTTTGTATAAATTGTGAAAGATCTATATTACGTACTAGATCACATCAACTGCAAATAATATCCGACAGAGAAACACACATTAAAAATGAAATTATTGATTGGATATCCCCACAACAGGTAGGATTATAGTTATTTTATTTATAATGATTACTATAATAAAACTTCCTTTATGACATGTAAAACATTAATATATCGCTACCATATCGTTTAAGTAACATTTTGTTGACAAATAATTTAATTATATATTATACTCTTTTAGGTGCATGGATCTGATCACATTTGTCATCCAAGTTGGCAGCGAGCAGATAGAGACAGTTCCTTTTAATATTCCAGAACCTATACAGAACATTACCTTACCGGATTTTAAAAGAGCATCTGATTCACAAGCATTATGTTTTGTTCCGGGTTGAGACTCACCACAGCAACTGACAGTTTCCAGATGGCTTCAGGTAAAATTGTTTGTTGATTTTAACTTTTATGTACCAAAAACCAGTAGACTGTGTAATTCTCATTTATATTATAATAATTGGGCTGAATGGTTGTCTATCATGCAAACTATTCATACATTTACTACAGAACTTATACAAGATTTTGCATCATTTGTAAAAAAGAAATCTTACAATGGATTTTAACAATATTGAAGGAATGACTGAAGTCTTTGTGCACTTTTGAAGGTCTGTCTAAACAGGAGTTCCTTCAGTTAAAATTAAATTGATTTAAAAAATTCTTTTGCTTTGGGAAGCTACATCTTTCATCAGGATGATATACTATTAATACTGCTACTATTAACTAGTTGTTCAATATTTAATGTTAATTTATTATTAAGTAGTTATGTGCAAATGTACTGAATAGGTGTTTTAAAATAGTCCTTTCTGTTAATAGGCGCAGACGTAAATGTGAGTCTACAGCCGCTCCAAGCCTAAGAGTTGTGCTCGAGGGTGAGCATAAATCAGGAGAATGGTCTTGTTTAAGGGAGAGCACACGTCAGGAGCGGCCGTGGAAGATTCAAAGATTAGGACGTCATGTGACCAACTTATATAAATGTAGCTGCTTTTTTGACTGCCCAAATGCCAGCCTCCAGCTGAAGAGAAACTGTATGAGCAGTGTAATTTATTTATAAAGTGATTATGTAAAGTCTATTCTTATAAATAAGTGTATTTAGAAGTACTGTCTTTTGCTTGTAAAATTGTATTGTCAAATTAAAGGTAAATATGTGTAAATCTACAATTTCTTTATTTAGACATCTCTGTTTCTTATTTCTAACATAAATAAATTAATATGATGATAAGATAATTAAAGTATTTTACAAAAAAATAACTTTTTCATTACATCGTTAATGGAATACTACACATGCTTATATATATACAATTATAAACTTTCCCGTGAAAATATTACAACAGTTAACTTCCTTAAGATATAAAATATTAAAAAATAATGTTTTTTATGACTGTAGATAATGTCCACTCAAAGCCAAAGTGCCCATACAAACTGAACAATTCCCTTTCAGGAGTGTTATCATGGAACGCGTGAATTGAGCGTGGATGAGTCAATGATAAAGTTCAAAGGTAGATCTACACTGAAACAGTATCTACCAATGAAACCAATCAAAAGAGGGTATAAATTATGGTGTTTGGCTGATCAGAGAGGCTTTATAAAGAAATTTCAGATATATCAAGGGAAAGACGAAGAAATGTCAGAGAAGTTCAAGAATTACGGATTGGGGGAAAGAGTCGTTTTAGAATTGACTGAACATGAATGGGGGAAAGGTAAGGTTGTCTATTTTGATAACTTTTTTCATCCATATCTTTGCTAGAAAATTGAAAAATGAAAACACTTTTGCTTGTGGAACATAAGAAGTAACAGAAAGGGGCTTCCACCAAATATGACGGCTGATTCTAAAATGACAAGAGGAGATACAGACTACCGTTTTTCAGATATGGATATTGGTTATTGGAAATGGAAAGATAATAAAATGGTTCATTTTATGTCCAAGATTCACGGAACCGAAGAGACCACAGTCTCACGCACAGAGAAAAATGGATCAAAGTCTGCAGTGCCTTGTCCTCAAACAGTGAAGGACTATAATGCATTTATGGGTGGCGTGGACACCGCTGATCGCCTGAGAGCCTTGTATTGTGTCGACCGCAAGTCTCCAAAATGGTGGCATAGACTATTTTGGGGTGCTCTGGACATAGCTTTTGTCAATGCCTTTGTCATCCACAATCTGCTATTACAAAAAACTACTGTAAAAGACTGTCGGCGATCTATTGCCCAAGGACTGATGAGTCAGATAGATGCTGGTCAGAAAAGGAGAACATCATCAGATAACTTCTCCAATGCAGGGCCATCCAAGAGGCGAAAATCTAATTATTCTACTTTGAAAGACGTGCGGTTAGGTAACAGCGGGATACATTGGCCAACGTTCTCAAATAAAAGAGGAAGATGTGAAGTCTGCAGCATGAGGCATATACAGTCAAAACCATTTACAAAATGATCGCATTGTAATACATATTTATGTTTGAATGATAAAAAAATTGTTTTGTAGAGTACCACGAGGTAAATGTTTGATTTTGCTACACGTACATACATAATTTTATTAGTGTTGTTGATTTTTGATATCGTGGACGTATATTTTTATTTTGTTTTTGTTCTAAATGATAAAAAAAATGTTTTGTAGATTGTTTATAGCGAGGTATAAGTCTGAACATTGTTAACGCTATTTATTTTTTTATATTATTTGTAGACATAGTTTTTTAACGAGTTCCTAATGAATGTGATACATAAAGTGCCTGACGGTACAGATAAGTCTAGGTACTGAAAAACCTAGTTCTAGGTACAGTAAAAATCTTAAAAAAATATATGTGTTTCATTTTAAAAACAATATTCAGAAATTATAAAAAAAAATACGAAATTCAAACGATTTCGGTATGCCGGCAGGAAAGGGTTAAGCTCTTGAACAACTCGGTGTTTAGGAAAACGTTAGAAAATAATGAAGCTTGTGTAAATGTACATTTAGTGAACTATTGGTCTGATACTGGTAATAAAATTAAAAAAAGATTGAGTGCTAGTAAACTAATCGCTAATCCTTATTTTCATAGTGTTTCTGTATTTACAGAAAATTTGGTTGCTGTACAAATGAAACCTGATGAAATTGTATTAGACAAACCCATCTACGTCGGTTTTACCGTTTTAGAGCTATCTAAAGCACATATGTACCACTTTCATTATAATATATTTAAGCCGTATTATCATGACCGCGTGAAGCTTTGCTATACCGACACCGACAGTTTTATTTACATCATAAAAACTCTAGATTGATTTATAAAGATCTGAAAACATTTTTCTTAAATTTTTTTGATACAAGTAATTTTAATAAAGAAAATCAATTCAAACTACCTTTAATTACTAAAAAGGTACCAGGATTATTCAAAGATGAAATGGGAGGACAATTGATATCTGATTTAGTTGGGCTAAGATCTAAACTGTATTGTATAAAAACTTTCGATAAAGTTATAAAATAAGCTAAAGGGGTCAAATCATATGTGATTCGCGACCTGAATATGAGTGACTATGAATCAGTACTTTTAAACGCGAATATAATACGTAAAAAAAATATTTTGTTTAAATCCATCAAACATGAAATCTTTACGAGAGGTGTTAACAAAATTGCTCTCTCGGGTAATGATGATAAAAGATTGATATCATCTGATAGAATAATCCACTACTGCTTGGGGTAGTTCTAATATACTGTAACGGTTGGCTTATTATGTTGGTTAACGTTTTAAAATGTCTCTTTTTTAGGTTATTTAATTATATTAGGTAAGTTACATTAGTACTTTAACTATTTGTTATAAATTATTACAATAGGGTTAATGAAACTACAATTCTATAAAGAAGTGTAATATTATTAAAATTCCGGTTGTTATTATTAATTAACATATACAACTTTACATTTAATAGATGCATGTGTTTAAAATCAAATCAAGGATTTAGGTATAACTGCAGGAAATAAATATTGCTGAATAT